AACACACACACACACACACACACACACACACACACACACACACACACACTCTCAGCCTAAACAACTGGCGTCAGACAGGATGGGGAATTTTCATTGCAAATAGCAAAAAAATCAACACACATGCTCCTTTAGATACATTAGCTATATATAATACATAACCTGTATGGAGCAGAAATTGTACCACACATTAGTTTTAGCTATCTTGGAGTGGTTTGATTGAACATTATATTTTTATCTTGGAGCTATCTGGAGATCCATCAGTGGTAGTTTTCTATTAAATGTGAAAACTCTACAGGAAATGTAATATTTTCACTTGCAAAATTTTACAATCTACTTTTCCATCACACTACTTAATTTGAAATAATATAGTTAGGTCTTTAGTTAAATGCATTACACTGCCAATTAAATATCAAAAATAATTTGGAGTAATTATTTTTCACAGCATCTGAAGCAATTAACAATCTGGTGGTTTATAACATTTCAGGATTTAAAATAGGCCATTCTATAGCTTTATGAAAAGTAACATAAAAAGATTTTGCTAACAGATTGATGAGTTATTACTACTCTTAATGAGAAAAGATTTGAATTAAATGGATCTGAACAATGTAAATGGGGAAATGATAAAGACCTTTCATGAAAATCAAGACCAAAATGTTTAAACGAACTGCACTTTAACAACAAAGAAAAAACACTGTGTGGGTGTAATTCTATCCATTTTAGATTTTCCTATAATGTTCATCACTGTAGTATCTAAGTGATGAATAGGTAAATCAGATGATGATTATATCTTCACCCTTCTTGGGTTCTCATTATTGACCTACCAGTAGTCCAAGAAGAGATCTCAAGACATAATATTTTGATAGGCATTAACATATCCTGGTATTACCATTCCCAAACTGTATGCCTTATTTAATGCTTAATTAAAGGAATTAAATGGATGAGGCAGCATTTTTCTATTGGTTACAGCATGGAATTAAGTCATGACACTTGGGTAATAGCTGTAATTCTGTCCTACTTATGATAGGGTAAATCACAATCTCTTTGAGCATGATAATACTTACCCATCTTTGTTAAGTGTCTTGAGATCATCACATGAAATGCAAAGTATTAATATAAAATATTCATCTAATCAATGTAACGTACATTTAGTCAAATCCATTTTCACCTTAGTGAGAGAAAAATCTTTCTTGTAGACTCCTTTAGGGATCAGTCCTTCAAAGTATCACCAGTCTGATCCAGCAAAGGATTTACTCATTTGCTTACATTTAAGCACTGGTTAATCTTACATGCTTATAGATGCATATTATTTAAGAGCTGTGTTGGATCAGAGTGCTCAGCACCTTGCAGGATTAAGTCTTATAACAAAGTATCCGTTTTAAACTATGTTTCTTGAATATTGTCAAAAGTAACATATAAATTGGCACAGTTTTGTGTCTTTAAAGTAACATGCAACCATACAGCCCTGTGCACAAACTATTATTAAATCCAAAGGGTAAAATATGTAACAATCAAAACAGTCTACAGGTGCATGAACAGCTGCTGTCCTTAAAATATTAGCTAATTGAAAAATCACAATTTCAGTTCCAAGTTTCCAAAAATGATTTTTAGTGCCTATCCAAACACCAGATTGAAGGATTCATACACAGAATAGGTTGGGATGAGCAGCAATAATGCAAACATCCCCATACTAACCTGTCAATTTTCGCCAAACTCTTCTCTGGGAAAACTACCTCTACGTATGAAAAGACCATCCATTGTGTTCATGTTCATTCTAAAGCCTTCATTGACAATGCAGTAAGGCTAATAATTTTTGTTAAGTGTGATGGCATTTTCTGGTGTTTTAGATACTGGTCACACGGCCCACCAAGCAATTTTGGAATGGCAGCAAATCTTGATCCCTATTAGAGCTGGTCAAAAATTTTGAGACAAACGAACAATAATTTAGTCAAAAAATGCTGTTTTGAGGAAAGTAAAATTGTTTTGTGAAAAAATCTTGATTTCTTTGAAATTTCTTGTATTTTCAGTATAATTTTTAAGATTGGTTTTAAAAAACATCATTAAAAATGTTTTGCTACACCGTACCCCGTGATTAATGACAGAGTTTTGTCACATGGTGCCTGTGTTATTTTGTGATTGGACGTGTGTACCTATAACTACTGGGTGACAATGTGATTAGCTCCGTTGACCTACAAGTATCAGAGGATGAACTGTTGCTCTCCTTTTGATGGTACTTGGGTGCACTGCATGACTGATCATTTGCTTGTGCAGTTTCCAATAAGGATGCGGAGCTGTAATGCCCTTCTACACCAATCTCTGGAGAGAGGGAATGGATTCGGGGCTGCTTTTAATTCCTCTGATCATTAAAAAAAGGTGTCCCTTGACTAGTCTCTCTGGGATTCTGGGCAAGCCTTACACAATGTGGGTTGAATTATTTGCTAGTGGGGTTCCCATCTAGGGCTTCTCAGCCATGCCCCTCCCACCATGAATATGGATTTTGTTTCTTTGGCTGATTAACCATTTTGTGTCTGTGTCCACATGCATCCTTGGAGCCTAGGAACAACCCAGCTTTTCTGCATCCCCTACCCACAGATGCACTGAATAAATAAATTCAAATGGCCTATCTTAAAATTTATCTTCTGGGCTGAAACGTAGGAATCGCTCATCAAATTGCTTCATTGTTTCATGTTTTTCCTTTTGACAGTTTTCAATTTGAAATCACTGAAATTTTTCCTTTTATGTAAGTTGTTAAATTTAAACATTTAATTTCATGAAAAATTTCAAAATTCAGAATTTTTTGATTCAGTGGATATTCCTCTTTAATCAGAGCTAGTCACCGCAGACTTGTATTGGATTTGAGAGAGTGATGTAGGGGCAGAAATCTTCCTTGTCCATTAGCAATCACCCAAGATCTATGGTCTCCTAAATACTTGTACACAGGCATTTTTAAGTCCCAGCTAGCCCAATTTTTTAAATCTTTTCAACAGTTCCAAAATGTTCACTGTTCCACTTATTGTGTGTCATTGTAAACATGAAGCAAGATTTGTATCCATAAAGCCCTATTTACCAAGAGTCTAAATAACATTTGACCCTTTGCTGAAGTTTAAATGGTCACTTAAAAAGAAGAAAAGCTTTACTCCACTGGCTATTCATATACAACTTGAGCAATTCAATGATCTGATTAGGAGAAAAGTAAATTGCAAAGCTATTCATTCCCACAGCCATTCCATCAAGATCTTATTTTAAAGTTATCATGATTTCAAATAATAAATGCAGTGCTTAACTTGTGCCAGGGCTTACCAGGCCTGAGCCCCACACCTCTAGGCTTGGCAGTTCATAGACCCAGCCCCTCTGGGCTTGCCATGTCAGTTATTAAAGTTAAAAAAAATTGCTTGAGCTCTGGCACCTAATTGCTTGAGCCTCAGCCCTTCTTTCATTACAAATTAAACACTGAATAAATGGCCAGGCATACTGAGCTGTGCACTCAAGAGCAACACCTCTGAAGAAGTCTTGAGTGCATGTGATATGATAAAAAGCTGAAACAAAAAAGTGAGCCCTTGAGCATGAACATATTTATATAGTGGTGAGAGAGCTATGCACGTAGGTCTTATCTGATCAGCTTGAATAAGTTGAAAAAACTTAAGAGCAATAAAATGACTGGTTGCTGGGTCCCTGAGGGACTAGCCTTCCCTCACTCTAGGCCAGATCATGAACCCCTTATTCCCAGTGGAGAACAGTGACTCATATGAGTAGTCCTACTGAAACTAATCAAACTACCCATATGAGTAGTTGACAGCATTCACAATCTTACCCTATGTGCTTGATACATCACATGGTTGCAGCCGTGGCTGCAGAAATTTATAAGAGCCAGGAAAGCGGGCAGTTTAAATACATTAGTCACCATCTCAAAGGTAGACTACTAGGCTAGTATTTAAACACTGAAGTTAATTACAGTCTATTAGGTGCATTTTGATTCCAGTTACATTACATTGAAATCTATTGAATTACTATAGTATCAAAATAGGTGTAAATGAAACATAATCTTACCCTATATTTGTCTTTTCTTACAAAACATATGCACACTATACAGTGCCATACTGGGGAAAATAATGGCCCAGTCAAAATAGTTTTAATCTATTGTCCTAACAGTCTAATGTTAGTGCTTTGGCAAACAAATGGACTTTACACATGGTTTTATCAAATACAAAATACGGATAGCTTATAAGAAAATTGCATGTGTGACCTGGCTCAGTGGTTTAATGCAGTCTTTTCACCCCTAGAGATCTGGGATGAAATCCTAGTTCCATTGAAGTTAATGGCAAAACTCCCATTAACTTCAGTGGGGCCAGGATTTCACCATGAATACTTATGTCACAGTAAGTGTTTTTGATGGACTTTACTTAATAGCGAACAATTATTTGGATCAATTAACTGTCAAATTTGTTCAATTGTCCTTTCAAATTTTCTTGAGAGGACTTGGCCTTGACAT